CATATATGTATGTATGTACACACATGTGCACCTGCCGAGATTTACATATACACAGCTTTGCATCTTGAAAGGTATCCATAACTACATATACGTACCTAGATATAAACATGTCAGTCACAGTGTCCTGAGGCACGAGTTGGAGTGTCCTCAAGTGGTTTCGAACCCTTGTTGCATTAAAGTATGCAGCTTCTTGTTACTTCTAAGAGGCCCACAGCCGTGAGTTCCAGGCATTCCCAAGCAGTTTTGGGCACTACCGCGCGTTCTTTGGTGTTCTCGGGAGGTCCCCACGTGAATTTTCCAGAGCCCAAGAACGCGCTGCTCGGGACATGCATGTCCAACATGTTTTCAGATGACCTTCACCTCTTGGGCCGTCACGGAAGCCCTGGAGGGCGGCCAAAGAAACCAACATCGTCAAAATCCCAGCAGCCCTCTGGGCGTCGGTGGCCTGGGGAAACTCCTCTTCCAATCCAATCATTCCCCTTTCGGGGAAGGGTTTACCACTGTTCCTAGTATTCTACACCCCTCCCCCCAGGCGACGGGCAGCAAACCAGGAACCATGCTCACCCCCCCACGCCATCCCTTTTAATATATATATATATATATATATATATATATATATATATATATATATAAAAAAATGCAACACTCAATTGCCTCCAAATTCGGAGCATGCGAAACCAACCCGATGCGCCCCCCCCCCCACCACGCATGTCAAAAAAAAACATCCACCGTAGTTTTGCGGCAAAGTTCGGGGTCATGTTCGTGAGGCACGCGGGCACTTTGTGTTGTTTTTGTTGACAAGTACGGCTGGGGTGTCAACAAATTGCCTGCTGCGCGCAGGGTTACAATCACTGACAAAACCCACATCAGAATGCACCTCGCAGCTAAATCTGGATAGTGCGCGGCCACGTGGTGGCGCATGGCCTGCTGTGCGCAGGCCTACCACACACAATTACGGACAGTGGTTTTCGACACGGATGGTCGGGGCCGACATGTTTCCCAGTGTCTGCTACCACGTGCGCAGGCGCAGCTGACACACTCTGCATGTGCTACGAACGTGGCGCACCTGGCGCGGCTGGCGGATGCGGCATACCTGGCGCACGCGGGGGCACGGGACGCATCTGGCGCACCAGGCGCGTTTGGCGCGCTCGGGCCCCAGGGGTGCCTGGCGCGCGTGGCGCGCCTGGCACGCGTGGCGCACCTCGCCCCAGCCTCGCGCACATGGGCTTGGCGCTGGTTCCCAATAGCTTCCCGTCCCAAAAAAGCCGCTGAACATGCTGAGGCTCAGGTGTTCCTTATGTGTTGGGGGGGCGGGTGGGAGTGGGCTCGACGGCTGGCTATCCAGAGGGTGTCTTTCTCGCTGTCCCAACTTACACACACACACACACACACACCACACACATATATATATATATATATATATATATATATATATGGCGGCCAGCCAGGAACCATGACGACCCCATGAGGGCCACCCCCCACACCATCTCTGTCAAAAACAAACAAAACGCAGTCTGCCTCCACATTTGAAGCATGCGCGGCCGCCCCGCGACAATGTTGTGTTGGTATCTTACAGGAACGGCTGGGGGCTGGGGTGCCAATTGATCCCACCTGCCTTCTGGGCGCAGGTGGTCGGTCGACCGACCGGTTTGACACATCAGTGGTTGCTGCCATCCTCGCACGTTTGTTTCTCATGCGTCGATGGCGAGGGGGACCGCGCGCCGTGGCCAGCAGCCACAAGCGCGCGCCGGGGGCGCGCGCAATCGCCGGCATACCGAAAATTGCGGCGCACGCAGGTGGGGCCTTTTTTGGTCCCCAGCGGCTGGCGCACCTGGCGCGGCTGCAGCACATGGAACACTGGGTACTGGGCGCACGCGGAGCACGTGCCGCACCTGGCGCGCGTGGCACGCTGGGTTTCCAATGTTTGATGCATCCGAACCCGTGGCGTATACGGCGCTCCCGCGTGATATGATATGCTGACTCCCGGGTGCTACATATGCGTGGGGAGGGCAGGTGGGAGTGAGCAGGACGGCTCGGGGGCGGGTGGGGAGCCCGACTCCTTCCCTACACCCGCCCTCTGAACCTGGACGGGGCGCCCCGCAAAGTGTCAGAGGGTACGTTTTCTCCCAAGACGGCTCCAAGAGGGCCTCACAGAGCCCGCGATGATATCCAAGATGTTTCAAGATAACCTACGATGCCTTAAGATGGTTCCCTGGATGCTCTGAGAGGCCCCAAGAACGCTCCAAGACGGTTCCCGAATGCCTCCGAAACTTCCCAGGAGGCCGCCAGAAGGCCGAAATCCTTCACAAGCCCATCGAAATTCAATACATGTTGCCTTCTCGTTTTTTCGCCTCCGATGGCCTGCCGAGGCCTCAAGACAGCTCCGCGAAGGCACATCAGGGCTCCAAGAGAACACAGAGACGGCCCCAAGAGTGCCCAAGAGCGCTGCAGGAGCGCCCCAAGAAGGGCCCAAGAAGCGATTTCTGGGGGACCCGACGGGTCACATTTAGAGTTCGAATTTTTGTTTGATCGATCTCCTCCAAAATGGCCCCAAGAGCGCCCCCAAGGCTCCACGCTAAGTGAAAAGCAGCAAGATGCCATGCCCGAACTGCTGGGAAACGTGTAAAAACGGACGGGAACGCCGCCGGGCGGGCGGCCCAGCGCGGCCGGCGAGACACCGCGTCCGGGGCCACGCCTAGCGGCGCCGAGGGGGCGCCGGCCCACCACCGAAACCTTCGCCACCACCAAGGGGGGCCCCGGCGCGGGCGGAATACAATCGTGCAGTGCGCGGTCGTCGAGGTCGTCGTCGCGCCGATTTGGCCAGGGCCGCCGCCTCCTCGCCGACCCCGCAGGGTCGCCACCTGGGTCGCCGACCCCGCGGTGAGGCGGTCGTTTCAAAGCCACGTCGCCA